TCTATAGTCTAGTCTATAGTCTAGTCTATAGTCTAGTCTATAGTCTAGTCTATAGTCTAGTCTATAGTCTAGTCTATAGTCTAGTCTATAGTCTAGTCTATAGTCTAGTCTATAGTCTAGTCTATAGTCTAGTCTATAGTCTAGTCTATAGTCTAGTCTATAGTCTAGTCTATAGTCTAGTCTATAGTCTAGTCTATAGTCTAGTCTATAGTCTAGTCTATAGTCTAGTCTATAGTCTAGTCTATAGTCTAGTCTATAGTCTAGTCTATAGTCTAGTCTATAGTCTAGTCTATAGTCTAGTCTATAGTCTAGTCTATAGTCTAGTCTATAGTCTAGTCTATAGTCTAGTCTATAGTCTAGTCTATAGTCTAGTCTATAGTCTAGTCTATAGTCTAGTCTATAGTCTAGTCTATAGTCAAGTCTATAGTCTAGTCTATAGTCTAGTCTATAGTCTAGTCTATAGTCTAGTCTATAGTCTAGTCTATAGTTTAGTCTATAGTCTAGTCTATAGTCTAGTCTATAGTCTAGTCTATAGTCTAGTCTACAGTCTAGTCTATAGTCTAGTCTATAGTCTAGTCTATAGTCTAGTCTATAGTCTAGTCTATAGTCTAGTCTATAGTCTAGTCTATAGTCTAGTCTATAGTCTAGTCTATAGTCTAGTCTATAGTCTAGTCTATAGTCTAGTCTATAGTCTAGTCTATAGTCTAGTCTATAGTCTAGTCTATAGTCTAGTCTATAGTCTAGTCTATAGTCTAGTCTATAGTCTAGTCTATAGTCTAGTCTATAGTCTAGTCTATAGTCTAGTCTATAGTCTAGTCTATAGTCTAGTCTATAGTCTAGTCTATAGTCTAGTCTATAGTCTAGTCTATAGTCTAGTCTATAGTCTAGTCTATAGTCTAGTCTATAGTCTAGTCTATAGTCTAGTCTGTAGTCTAGTCTATAGTCTAATCTATAGTCTAGAGTATAGTCTAGTCTATAATCCAGTCTATAGTCTATTCTTCAGTGTATAGCCTTAATAGTCTATATTATGGTCTTCAGTCTAGTCTATAGGCAATATTTTGTTCCCTAAATAAAGTAAGACCAATCAATTGAATGCCATTTTCTTTTGCTACAATTAAATTTTGAAAGAAAATTGTGAGCAGAAAATCGAAGGATGATACATTGAAAGAACATTGACTTCTTTAAGAAACAAATCTCCAAATACGAAAAATTTCCTCTGATATATGTATGTTAATCACATTCCAACATTACATATACATATGTATGTATATATTTCTGGAAAAGAGAAGTTAACTACATAGCTACACCTACCTACCACCTACCCAAATTGAAATTAATGTAAATTCTATGTAAATTAGAGGAAAAAAAACCTATTGAAATTTTCTTTAACCCATGCGGCAAATTCAACAGTGAAAGGTGTTACAAACGAAATGACAAAATAAATCTATAACTATATACTTATTCCCTACGGTTTTTGGTGCCGGTATGAAGAAATAAACATTTAAATACAATAACAGAAACAACATTACAATAATCAAATCAAACGGCAACGAACTTTGCATATCAAGCTGAAATAAAATAAAAATAACTGAAAAAAAAAAAACAAGAAATTTCGAATTTTTGTTATTTTCAAAGACGCAGAGCACTGATGTGAAATGTGGTTGATGATGCTTCTGCTGTTGTTGGGCTTTTGAAGTGCGTGGACTTTATGGCTTTGCATGATGACATGGAGATTCACATGTACATAGTATGAAGAAAGAAAGGGCTTGTTATTTATAGTGTTTGATAGCAGTAGCAGCAATTTTGCTGCTGCTGATGCATTCATACTCTGGTTACATGTTGCTGCATTGGGTGTTGCTGTGACTTTTTAACAGGTTGTTGCAGTTTTTTTTTTTTGGAATTTCAAATGATGAAAAGAAACTAATTAAACACATGGAAGTTTAGAGGAGAAAAGAGATGTACAATTTATTTCCGAATTGTTTTTCTTTTTGGGATTTTATTTTAATTTAGCGGAAAGAAATTAATCAAATTTACCTTTTGAATTAAATCAGTCAAAATTCGCCGCATTTAAATCAAAAATAGGGTATAATTTTTAAATATATAGATTCTGTATGTCGTCTACTACATAGACAAGTCCAGGTTAGTCCTGAGATCAGTGCATAGTATTTGATAAAAAAAATCGCTAAATGTCTTAAAAGCGAATATGCCGAGACTGCATTTGTTTTCGCTGAAAGGCAACACAAGATCGAAGCTAAACTGCATATACTGTTCAGAACAACATTCATAAAAGAGCTGAAATCATCACATAGATTTCGGAGTTTTATCTTTAGTAGATTTCCCGAAAAAAGGAAGGAATAGCTTGAATCAGAAAATATTTTTGTCAGTATGGAATCTGGGTGAAGTCAAAGATAAACAAAGTAAGAGGAGATGATTTGTAATGACTCCCTATAAACTAGACCACAGACTGAACTATAGACAAGACTGTAAAATAGACTATAGACTAGACTATAGACTAGACTATAGACTAGACTAGACTATAGACTAGACTATAGACTAGACTATAGACTAGACTATAGACTAGACTATAGACTAGACTATAGACTAGACTATAGACTAGACTATAGACTAGACTAGACTATAGACTAGACTATAGACTAGACTATAGACTAGACTATAGACTAGACTATAGACTAGACTATAGACTAGACTATAGACTAGACTATAGACTAGACTATAGACTAGACTATAGACTAGACTATAGGACTAGACTATAGACTAGACTAGACTATAGACTAGACTATAGACTAGACTAAGACTAGACTATAGACTAGACTATAGACTAGACTATAGACTAGACTATAGACTAGACTATAGACTAGACTATAGACTAGACTATAGACTAGACTATAGACTAGACTATAGACTAGACTATAGACTAGACTATAGACTAGACTATAGATTAGACTATAGACTAGACTATAGATTAGACTATAGACTAGACTATAGACTAGACTATAGACTAGACTATAGACTAGACTATAGACTAGACTATAGACTAGACTATAGACTATATGACTATAGACTAGACTATAGACTAGACTATAGACTAGACTATAGACTAGACTATAGACTAGACTATAGACTAGACTATAGACTAGACTATAGACTAGACTATAGACTAGACTATAGACTAGACTATAGACTAGACTATAGACTAGACTATAGACTAGACTATAGACTAGACTATAGACTAGACTATAGACTAGACTATAGACTAGACTATAGACTAGACTATAGACTAGACTATAGACTAGACTATAGACTAGACTATAGACTAGACTATAGACTAGACTATAGACTAGACTATAGACTAGACTATAGACTAGACTATAGACTAGACTATAGAATAGACTATAGACTAGACTATAGACTAGACTATAGACTAGACTATAGACTAGACTATAGACTAGACTATAGACTAGACTATAGACTAGACTATAGACTAGACTATAGACTAGACTATAGACTAGACTATAGACTAGACTATAGACTAGACTATAGACTAGACTATAGACTAGACTATAGACTAGACTATAGACTAGACTATAGACTAGACTATAGACTAGACTATAGACTAGACTATAGACTAGACTATAGACTAGACTATAGACTAGACTATAGACTAGACTATAGACTAGACTATAGACTAGACTATAGACTAGACTATAGACTAGACTATAGACTAGACTATAGACTAGACTATAGACTAGACTATAGACTAGACTATAGACTAGACTATAGACTAGACTATAGACTAGACTATAGACTAGACTATAGACTAGACTATAGACTAGACTATAGACTAGACTATAGACTAGACTATAGACTAGACTATAGACTAGACTATAGACTAGACTATAGACTAGACTATAGACTAGACTATAGACTAGACTATAGACTAGACTATAGACTAGACTATAGACTAGACTATAGACTAGACTATAGACTAGACTATAGACTAGACTATAGACTAGACTATAGACTAGACTATAGACTAGACTATAGATTAGACTATAGACTAGACCATAGACTAGACTATAGACTAGACTATAGACTAGACTATAGACTAGACTATAGACTAGACTATAGACTAGACTATAGACTAGACTATAGACTAGACTATAGACTAGACTATAGATTAGACTATAGACTAGACCATAGACTAGACTATAGACTAGACTATAGACTAGACTATAGACTAGACTATAGACTAGACTATAGACTAGACTATAGACTAGACTATAGACTAGACTATAGACCAGACTATAGACCAGACTATAGACTAGACTATAGACTAGACTATAGACTAGACTAGACTATAGACTAGACTATAGACTAGACTATAGACTAGATTATAGACTAGACTATAGACTAGATTATAGACTAGACTATAGACTAGATTATAGACTAGATTATAGACTAGACTATAGGCTAGACTATAGACTAGATTATAGACTAGACTATAGAGTAAACTATAGACTAGACTATACACTAAAAAAACTACACTACAGACTATACTATAGACGTGACTATACACCAGACTGTAGACAAGACTATGGACAAGACTATTGACTAGACTATAGAGTAGACCATTGACTAAACTATAGACTAGATTATAGACTAGACTACAGACTAGACTATAGAATAGACTATAGACTAGTCAATAGACTATAGACTAGACTATAGACTAGTTAATAGACTAGACCATAGACTATACTATAAACTAGTCAATAGATTAGACTTTACTATAGATTATAATAGACTACAAACTGGTCCGTTCATTACTATGTGCACTACATTCCATAGGCCTGTGTAATTCGATGTCCTTAAACATTCAAAAAAACTGTCCATTCACTAAAAATTTTCACACAAAATCACTTTTTTAAAATTAACTTTAAAGAAAAACCAAAAAATAATACATAATAACTAAACTGGCTTACCTGTTTAAATAAAAAAAGAACAACAACAACACACAAAAAACTAAAAACAAGAACAAAATTAACGAAATTCCTGGTCGTTTTCCCAGAGAGATCCCTTAACTAGGTGCTGCACAATGACGATGATGATGATGATGATGATTACAACGTTGTTATTGTAGTTGTAGAATTTTGTAGAATACTTCTTTTATGTGATCTGCTTGTATAACAAGTAATTTGGAATTTTATGGTACCCTGCACTGCTCCTGCGCTTCTCTACTCTAACTCACTCTTTTGTTTCATGTTCTTTACAGATCGCTCGCTTGTTTGCTCGTTTTTCAAGCCTTTTTTTCAATGCCAACACAATCCTTGCTTCGTTTTTTAAGAAGTTTTGAAATTTTTCTAGATTTAAGGAATTTTCTTTTACTCGTTTTCAAGGTTTTTTTTTTTTTTGGGATACACTTTATATTTTCGTTCTTTAAATAAATGCCACTTTGTTTAATATAATATTTATTTATAATTTTTAAAATTATTAACAAAACAGATTATTCTACTTAAACAGGAAACTATTTTGGCCACCACAATATTTGCACTAACACTTAAACACGCACAGCGATCATAAACATTTTACACAAGATCAACTGAACACGATCATCTCACGTACAAATATTAAGCAACTACAAAAACAACAACAACGGCTACAATAATAAGCATCAACATTCCGAAATGTTTAAAGAATGGATGGATATTTCACTCTACAGATACACAGATACACCGAACTTTACCACGCAATTGCAAAGTAATTATAAACAAAGTAAGTACGTGTTTGTATTTAGTTTTTTATTTATTTATTTTTGTTTGTTATTTTTCTAATTACTCCAATTGACAGGCGAACGCACTTTTCAATTGGATCTTGTTTTTGAAATAAAAAAAAAATCTTCTGGTGTTCTAAATATAGCACCAATCAGGAATTTTTTCAATTTCACAAAAAAAAAAATTAAACAAAAATTATTTATTATTCTGTTTACTTTAGTTTTTGCAGACGTTATTTATTCGCTCCGGTTGTGTGTATGTACCTTTAGTATGTATCTTTGCATTTATGTTTTTGTTATTTTTGTGTATTTTTTTGTTATTGTTGGTATATATAAAATCGTGTTTGAATGTAGTTGTTCAAACCTCAATCGGGATTGAATTGCGCTCTTTACTCTTTATTTAATATAATTTTTTTTTTTCTTATTCACCTTTTACGCATTCATATATGGTAGAGATTTTCCGTTAATAAAAGCCGACACGATCATATAAAACGTTACGCGATCATTGCTGAGTAGTAACTGAGTTCTGTGTTCAATAAGTTAAAGTATCTCAAACTAGTTGCAAACTAAGTTTCTTTCAGTTAAGAGATACTTTTTGTCCATGTATTTAGTACTAATGGTACAAAAATGTACCTTAAGAAAATACTCTGTAAAACATTTCAGAAATTAACTTAATTTTTAAATAAAAATTGCAAAAAGCTATATCGTATGCCCCGAATTTGTTTTTTGTATTGTAGTTGCCACAAAATAATTGATAAATTCACGTAATTTATATATGTTAATTGCTATTACTATATATAGGTTGTGGTACTTTTAATGTTAAAACATTTTTTCACAATAAATACAAATCCACACGCCCCTGGTTAAAAGTATATGTTGCCAGATCTTAAACAATTGCTATCAACATTTGTTGATACATAATTTTCTTAGGTTAAGAAGAAATCATTTAATTTTTCAACACAATATAAATAATACATATAAATTAATTATTGCTGTACAAATGTTTCCTTAATTCAATAATATTTGATTGTTAAGCATACATACTATTTCATGTTGTTTTCTACTTTTTAAACGTAACTGTCAATTGCTTAAAACAGATAAATAAAAACAGCTGTTGTTTACCTTTTTGTTCTTTGACAGTTATATTTAAATGGCATTGAGCAACATTAAACTTGGTAGCACTTTTTATATATTTTATAAGTTTAGTGTTACCAGATGTTATTTTCGTTACTTTTAGGTTTAAGAAAATGGAAAAAAACTTTTTAGATTTTCAGATTACAATACATTTTCAAATAATACTTTGTATTAATACAAAATCGCGTAATGTAAAATACCTTCAAGTTTTAGATATTAATTGAAAAAATTGGGTTGTAAAGAACTTATTTATATTGAATTTCAGTTGTATATATATATTTTTAATCAAAAAAGTGGACAGATATTGACCACTTTTAAAAGCAATATAAAAATTTTTAACTCTATAGCTCTATCCTTTTTATTGTGCTTTCAACAGACAGGAATTAATTAAGAATATTAAGAATACATATAACTTTGTGAGTCCATGATCAATATTTCGATGTGATGTTGGTCGAAATAAAAAATTCTTATGTTTTTCTGAAAAATTATTAAGTTTTAAATTTGAAAATTGTTATTAATTTTACTAATTTCTTGACATTTTAGTCAGATGGCCACAGCTGTCAAAATTTTAAAAATTTTTAAGTATTTTGTTATAAAATTCGATATTGAAGCTTTCGTCACATGAAGCAATTATTCGTCATTCATGCTCTCATTAGTCATTCAACCACCAATTACGAACCGAATTACTGATTCGCTATACAAAACTTCAACTGAGAATTACACAAACTGTACGTAGTTCACGAATTATGAATGAATGGGTGTCATCTCTAATTATTATCGGGTATTTATCATAATCAGCTGTTTTTTTTTTTTTTTCAATTGTTTACATGGATTGTGTGTCCGCCACAATTCACAATTATCAATATAATTGCCATACTCTTTTTTTGACCCAATGATGACCTAAGCCTTTATATAAACTCTCCTTCTGAAAATGACTTGAAGGTCTAAATTCACTTACAAACACTAAAAACACGATGGAATTCTGCATAAATAACTTCAATGTAGACGTAAATTCGACTACCAAAATATAGAAGAATAGACTCATATTTATCCTTGTAGAAAATCTATCTTATATTTTCGAATTAGAGTAAAAAACAAATTAAATGCTTTATTATTTAAAAAAATAATCCACATTTTTAACATACTCAATAGTGTAGGGTATCATATGGTCGGCCAAGACCGACTATACATTCATATTTGTTTAAATAACGTAACGAAAGGTATTTTTTATTAGGCACACACATGTATTCCAAAATATAACGAAATATGGAAAGAAAAAACAACATGGCGATGAACTGTCAAAACAATTTTCAAATGTGTTGTAAAAATGGGTTAATTGGCTATTGTAATTCAACGGCCAGTATAAGTGTTCGTGTGAACATGACATAATACTGACTGAAAAGTCGACTTTTCGACTTTTTTCATTTAGTTAAAAGTCGACTTTTCGACTTTTTGCATTTTATGAAAAGTCGATTTTTCGACTTTTCGACTTTTTTCACTTAAATAAAAGTCGACTTTTAGACTTTTCGACTTTTTCCGACTTTTTCCGACTTTTCGACTTTTTTCGACTTTTTCCGACTTTTTTCCGACTTTTTTCGACTTTTCGACTTTTTGACTATTTTCGACTTCTTTCTACTTTTTTCCAAATATTTTTTGACTTTTTTCGAGTTTTTCCGACTATTTTAGAGTTTTTGACTTTTTTTTCCACTTTTTTTAAATTTTTGACTATTTTTGACTTGTTTCTACAATTTTCGATTTTTCGACCTTTTCCGACTTTTCGACTTTTTCCGACTTTTCGACTTTTTTCGACTTTTTACGACTTCTAGACTTTTTTCGACTTTCTTCGACTTTTTTCGACTTTTTTCGACTTCTCGACTTTTTTCGACTTTTATTCACAAAGACGACTTTTCGACTTTTTTCACAGACGATAGTCGAGCTATCGACTTTTTTGGAACAAAATAGTCGACTTCGACTTTTCGACTTTTTTCGACAAAAAGTCGATTGTTCGATTATTCGAAAGTCAATTTATAGAACCCTACTGACAATTGTTTTTGTACATCTGGCATTACTTTCTGCTATTTGACACCCAAACCTAATGCATATTAAACTTGGCAGCACTATAAAAACGCCAATATAAATGTTAAGGAATTTTTACACATTTTTTATTATTAAACAATTTCAAACAAAATGAGAATGTTAAAATTAAATATTAAATAAATGTTTATAACAATATATGCATAAAAAATTTGTTTTTATAAAAAACTCGACCGGCATAAAATTCCCATAACATTAACATTCTTTGTTTATGTTGTCATCACTTGGGCCGTTGCTACACCGTAACTATCGGCTTTTTTTTTATTACTTCATTTTTAACCCAAAGAAAATTTTCAGTTCAAAACGAAAACTACGAGGAAAAAGATCAAATAAAAAGTGGCTTTGGCAAGAACGCTGTGAAAAAAACGAGTTTAGTGAATAAAACAAACAATTATAGCCGCGGCCGATAAAATTAAAGTGTAATTAACAAATATTGTTGGAAAATAAACAAAAAACTTTTAAATTAAATGGTAATTAGAGGAAATAAAAGACCAAGTTATTTAATTTTGAGTTTTAGTGATAAAAGAAATGTGAGCCTTAAAGAAAAAGCGCGCTTGTAACAGAAAAAAAAAGTTGTGTGCCATGAATATTTTTGCATAATTAAAGTGTTTGTTTTAAAATAAGCCAGTGGTTGGTTTTTTATAGTTATTTTTGCAAAACTAAATAAGAATATCTTGTGACTCATTAAAAAAAAACAATTTAAAAGTAAACGTCATCGACCAATATGCTGCTATTTATTATTTTTTTTATATTTATTTTAAGTTGTATTGAAAGCGTCGCCGATGCTGTTCTTATAAATTTTCAGTGTTTTTTCGGCCTTTTCTTTTGCTGGGTCTTCTTTTTTTTTTTGTTTTCGCTTTTGTTGTTGGTGCATTTCATTAAAACAATAAAGTTCGTTTCGTTTATTATTACAACAACTACAGGGTGTTTACTGAGTGTATGTGTGTGTCGGTTTTTTTTTTCAATGTAAATGCATTTGCATTTTTCCATTTCAGTGCGTGAAAGAATAATAACATTAAATTTTTTTATTATTTTTTTCTTATATATGCAAATATTATTACAGAATTTGTTAAAATAAATATAAAAAGTTTTTTATGTTTATTTTGTTGTTTTTTTTTTTTTATTTGCATTTAATATTATTACAATATTGCCCATATTAGTAATGTCAATTTTGTTATTATGTTAATTCTAAAAGTGGGTGTGGTCTTCATGTTTATAATTTTTTTTTTGTTATTTTTTTAGTGCTGAATAGTTTAGAAAGCGGAAATTAAAGAATTTACCTTAAAATAGTATAAAATATATAATATTTCTAAAAGGTACGTGAAAAATGCATATGTAATATTAGCTGCGTGTTAAAAACATTCTTGTACAAAAACAAATATGCATACACTTCTACTTGTCATTATTTTGTTACATTTTGTTTTCTTACCTTATTCGTCTTCATCATTATAGTTTGTTTTTTTTGGTACTTTTTTCCCTTTTACTTCTTTGGGCACCTGTTGCTGACTGCTTATTTTGGTTTTGTTTATTTTTGTTTTTTATTACACATTACCTTGTGCCGTAACTACTTTTACGTGTTCTTTACTTACTTTTCCAAAAAAAGGTCTACACATTTGTTCTCTAAATCCTACTACTAAAAATACATACTTATTCATAAGTCAAGGTCATTATGAAAAAGATTTGTTATTGTTGTTTTTCCAACTGTTTAAACTGTCAGACAAGAACTATTTTAATAATTAGCAAGTAGCATTGAAATAACAACATTTTAATTATTGACACGTAAAGTAATGTGTTTAGGATTAATTCTGAGAATTTTTACAAGTTGTAGGCTTTAACTATCTATAGATTAAATCAATGTTTTCCTTTTTTATATGGACAAGTTTTAATTTAATGCAAAAAGCACTTAATTATTTTGTTTATATTATAGTATTGATTGCTAAACGTTTGCTAACCGGCATTTTTAAAAAAGAAACCTTTTAAATGCAAAACAAAAACGTTTGTTGTAGTATTTTTACACCTTTCTTGCTTTAAAGTTTAGTTATTATTTAAAATTTAAATACATTTTGAAAATGCAACAACAAACTGTAAACTTATTTACAAAGAAAGTGCATCATGCTTATTATATAAATATTCTAATCTAGAGGTAAATAAATTAGTTGGTTGTTTCAATAGTTTCTGACTTGCGGGCATTGCATTCATTCAGTTGGGATACATCATTCTTACTTGTATACATTGTTGTTGCTGAAGTTGGGGCAAAACTTCCAGCTGATTAAGAATGGCGGAGATTTATTGATGTTTTTGTTTGTTAATGGAATGATTAGTTTTTGATATTTGTTGTATGTTTGCCATTCAATGAATGAATTTTTCCTAGAAAATTTTATCCCCAGAAAGAATAAAAGTAAACTTTTCTACAGAAAATTTGTGCCAAATGAAATTTTCTATAGAGAAATCCACCAGAAATAATTTTTTTCTAAAGAAAACTTAGTCCCAAATGAAATTTTCTATAAAAAATTTATACTAAATTTCTATAAATAAATGTGACACAAATAAAATTTTCTATAGGAAAATTTCATACCACAAAAATTTTCTATAGAAAAATTGTTCATAAATAAAATTTTTTATAGAAAAAAGTTCCAAAATCAATTTTTTTTAAATAAAATTGCTTTAAATAAATTGTTTTATAAAAAAATTAGTCTGAACTAAAAGTGTCTATAGAAAACTTTGAAACGAGTAAATTTTTCTATAGAAAATTGGGACTAAAATTAATTTTTCATTAGAAAAAAATACTTTTCCCAAATTAATTTTTCTATAGAGAAAATAAATTTGCCCCAAATTAATTTTTCTATAGAAAAATTTGTCCCAAATGAATTTTTCTATAAAAAAATTTGTCCCAAATGAATTTTTCTATAGAAAAATTTGTCCCAAATGAATTTTTCTATAGAAAAATTTGTCCCAAATGAATTTTTCTATAGAAATATTGGTCTCAAATGAATTTTTCTATAGAAAAATTTGTTCCAAATGAATTTTTTATAGAAAAATTTGTCTCAAATGAATTTTTTATAGAAAAATTTGTTCAAAAAGAATTTTATTATAGAAAAATTTGTCCCAAATGAATTCTTCTATAGAAAAATTTGTCTCAAAGGAATTTTTATAGAAAAATTGGTCCAAAATGAATTTGTTTTATAGTAAAATTTGTCCCAAATGAATTTTTCTATAGAAAAATTTGTCCCAAATGAATTTTTCTATAGAAAAATTTGTCCCAAATGAATTTTTCTATAGAAAGATTTGTGCCAAATGAATTTTTCTATAGATAAATTTGTCCCAAATGATTTTTTGTATAGAAAAATTTGTCCCAAATGAATTTTTCTATAGAAAAATTTGTCCCAAATGAATTTTTCTATAGAAAAATTTGTCCCAAATGAATTTTTCTATAGAAAAATTTGTACCAAATTAATTTTGCTATAGAAAATTTGTCCCAAATTAATTTTTCTATAGAAAAATTTGTCCCAAATTAATTTTTCTATAGAAAAATTTGTCCCAAATTAATTTTTCTATAGAAAAATTTGTCCCAAATTAATTTTTCTATAGAAAAATTTGTACCAAATTAATTTTGCTATAGAAAAATTTGTCCCAAATTATTTTTTTCTATAGAAAAATTTGTCCCAAATTAATTTTTCTATAGAAAAATTTGTCCCAAATTAATTTTTCTATAGAAAAATTTGTCCCAAATTAATTTTTCTATAGAAAAATTTGTCCCAAATGAATTTTTATATAGAAAGATTTGTGCCAAATGAATTTTTCTATAGAAAAATTTCTCCCAAATGAATTTTTCTATAGAAAAATTTGTCCCAAATGAATTTTTCTATAGAAAAATTTGTCCCAAATGAATTTTTCTATAGATAAATTTGTCCCAAATGAATTTTTCTATAGAAAAATTTGTCTCAAATGAATTTTTCTATAGAAAAATTTGTCTCAAAAGAATTTTTCTATAGAAAAATTTGTCTCAAATTAATTTTTTATAGAAAAATTTGTCCAAAATTAATTTTTTTATAGAAAAATTTGTCCCATATGAATTTTTCTATAGAAAAATTTGTCCCAAATGAATTTTTCTATAGAAAAATTTGTCTCAAATTAATTTTTTATAGAAAAATTTGTCCAAAATTAATTTTTTTATAGAAAAATTTGTCCCATATGAATTTTTCTATAGAAAAATTTGTCCCAAATGAATTTTTCTATAGAAAAATTTGTCCCAAATGAATTTTTCTATAGAAAAATTTGTCCCAAATGAATTTTTCTATAGAAAAATTTGTCCCAAATGAATTTTTCTATAGAAAAATTTGTCCCAAATGAATTTTTCTATAGAAAAATTTGTCCCAAATGAATTTTTCTATAGAAAAATTTGTCCCAAATGAATTTTTCTATAGAAAAATTTGTCCCAAATGAATTTTTCTATATAAGGATTTGTCCCAAATGAATTTTTCTATAGAAAAATTTGTCTCAAATGAATTTTTCTATAGAAAAATTTGTCTCAAATGAATTTTTCTATAGCAAAATTTGTCCCAAATGAATTTTTCTATAGAAAAATTTGTCCCAAATGAATTTTTATATATAAAGATTTGTCCCAAATGAATTTTTCTATAGAAAAATTTGTCCCAAATTAATTTTTCTATAGAAAAATATGTCCCAAATGATTTTTTTTATAGAAAAGTTTGTCCCAAATTATATTTTTTATAGAAAATTTGTCCCAAATGATATTTTTTATAGAAAATTTTCCCAAATAAATGTTTCTATAGAAAATTTTGTTCCAAATGAATTTTTCCTTAGAAAAATTTGTCCCAAATTAGTTTTTCTGCAAAAAAATCTATCCCAAATGAATTTGTCTATAGAATAATCTGTCCCAAATAAAATTTTGTATAGAAAAATTTGTTCCAAATTAATTTTTCTATCAAAAAATTTGGACTATTTTAGCCATTCCTTAATCTCAAATTAAAAATTTTGAAATTTTATTTCAAAATTTAACAAATGTATCAATTAAACTACACAAATAATTAACATTCTTAATTGAAATATTACACAGCAAACTAAAAGACATTTTCTTGTAACTATAAACTTTATTTTATCTAACTTACAATTGACATATTAAGGCATTTTGAATATCTACATAATATTATACAATAAAACCACATTATAACACAATTTTGGTTGTGTTTTTTTTTCATCTGCACAATAAAAAAAAGATTGTATAAAATTATATTAAAGAAATAAAGACACTATATATAATGTTAGAGTGGTACATAAATAGTTAACCACCAATAAGTCAACTCAAGAAACAATATAGAAAAAATATAAAAAAAAACAGAATAAAGGTGTATGTAACAAGTAAATTCGATAGCATAGACAAGTTTTGCAAAAAACCAGTTTCTTTGAATAGATTAAATAAAAAAAAGTAAAGAAAAAACTCAATTGAATAGAAAATAGTATTTGGGATTTACTTACTTCTTTTTTAGTGGTTCTTTTGATACCCATACCAACATATTGTTTAATATGGCTGTGGTTTAAGACTACGACTGCTGTTGCTGCTGCTATACAATTTATGCTACATTTAGTTTTAAAAACAGTAACTACTTGCTATAAAATACATTTAACGCCTACAGATTTATTTGTAATAATATTACTTGTTATATATTTTTTTTTCATCCTACAGATTTTGTTTGTTTGTTTGTTGTTTTAGTAAATTATTCCTTAAATTAAAAATAATTTTCTATAAAATGACTAATATTTGTATTTTTCTTTTTTTCTATTTTTAGTATTAATAGTTAACACTGCCATTATTTTAGAAAATCTCTTATTGAGATTAAAAACAAAAAAAAAAAAAGAACAACAACCAAAAGTTATAATATTTTATTAATAGAACTGGAACTGACAACATGTTGAAATTTATACGTGGCAAAGGACAACAACCTTCGGCTGAAAGGCAACGTTTACAAAAGGAATTGTTTGCATATAGAAAGGTAAGTTTTTTCCAAAATGATTTGATTTAAATATTATGGAATTTTAAGTGTTTGGTGAATTTGTCGGGATTTATAATTTCGAATATACAAATTTCGAAAATAATAAAATCGCATTCGTTATTATAATAAAACAGGCGAAGACTGGTTGCTTTAATACAGTTAAAATCAAACCTGACTACTATTAAGATACCATTTCTGAATAACATAATATTACTCATTTTTTGCCCTATCAATGACTTCACTTTTCCAATAGTTCTTATCGTATTTTCATTTAATGCGCCACATATAATAATAAAACAAATTTCGATTTCTAAATAAAAAATTTTATATAATTTTTGTTTATACCAGGTTTGGAAAATTGTAATTTTAAAATAATAGTAACTTATAACACAAAGTAGTACTTTTTTAGTTTTTACAGTACTAAAGCAATTTTCAGCTAGACTATAGACTAGACTATAGACTAGACTATAGACTAGACTATAGACTAGACTATAGACTAGACTATAGACTAGACTATAGACTAGACTATAGACTAGACTATAGACTAGACTATAGACTAGACTATAGACTAGACTATAGACTAGACTATAGATTAGACTATAGACTAGACTATAGACTAGACTATAGACTAGACTATAGACTAGACTATAGACTAGACTATAGACTAGACTATAGACTAGACTATGGACTAGACTATAGACTAGACTATAGACTAGACTATAGACTAGACTATAGACTAGACTATAAACTAGACTATGGACTAGACTATAGACTAGACTATGGACTAGACTATAGACTAGACTATAGACTAGACTATAGACTAGACTATAGACTAGACTATAGACTAGACTATAGACTAGACTATAGACTAGACTATAGACTAGACTATAGACTAGACTATAGACTAGACTATAGACTAGACTATAGACTAGACTATAGACTAGACTATAGACTAGACTATAGACTAGACTATAGACTAGACTATAGACTAGACTATAGACTAGACTATAGACTAGACTATAGACTAGACTATAGACTAGACTATAGACTAGACTATAGACTAGACTATAGACTAGACTATAGACTAGACTATAGACTAGACTATAGACTAGACTATAGATAGACTATAGACTAGACTATAGACTAGAGACTATAGACTAGACTATAGACTAGACTATAGACTAGACTATAGACTAGACTATAGACTAGACTATAGACTAGACTATAGACTAGACTATAGACTAGACTATAGACTAGACTATAGACTAGACTATAGACTAGACTATAGACTAGACTATAGACTAGACTATAGACTAGACTATAGACTAGACTATAGACTAGACTATAGACTAGACTATAGACTAGACTATAGACTAGACTATAGACTAGACTATAGACTAGACTATAGACTAGACTATAGACTAGACTATAGACTAGACTATAGACTAGACTATAGACTAGACTATAGACTAGACTATAGACTAGACTATAGACTAGACTATAGACTAGACTATAGACTAGACTATAGACTAGACTATAGACTAGACTATAGACTAGACTATAGACTAGACTATAGACTAGACTATAGACTAGACTATAGACTAGACTATAGACTAGACTATAGACTAGACTATAGACTAGACTATAGACTAGACTATAGACTAGACTATAGACTAGACTATAGACTAGACTATAGACCTAGACTATAGACTAGACTACTAGACTAGACTATAGACTAGACTAGACTAGACTAGACTAGACTATAGACTAGACTATAGACTAGACTATAGACTAGACTATAGACTAGACTATAGACTAGACTATAGACTAGACTATAGACTAGACTATAGACTAGACTATAGACTAGACTAGACTAGACTATAGACTAGACTATAGACTAGACTAGACTATAGACTAGACTACTAGACTAGACTAGACTATAGACTAGACTACTATAGACTAGACTATAGACTATAGACTAGACTATAGACTAGACTATAGAAGACTATAGACTAGACTATAGACTAGACTATAGACTAGACTATAGACTAGACTATAGACTAGACTATAGACTAGACTATAGACTAGACTATAGACTAGACTAGACTATAGACTAGACTAGACTAGACTATAGACTAGACTAGACTATAGACTAGACTATAGACTAGACTATAGACTAGACTATAGACTAGACTATAGACTAGACTATAGACTAGACTATAGACTAGACTATAGACTAGACTATAGACTAGACTACAGACTAGACTACAGACTAGACTAGACATAGACTATAGACTAGACTATAGACTAGACTAGAGACTAGACTAGACTATAGACTAGACTAGACTATAGACTAGACTAGACTATAGACTAGACTAGACTATAGACTAGACTATAGACTATAGACTAGACTATAGACTAGACTATAGACTAGACTATAGACTAGACTATAGACTAGACTATAGACTAGACTATAGACTAGACTATAGACTAGACTATAGACTAGACTATAGACTAGACTATAGACTAGACTATAGACTAGACTATAGACTAGACTATAGACTAGACATATAGACTAGACTATAGACTAGACTATAGACTAGACTATAGACTAGGACTATAGACTAGACTATAGACTAGACTATAGACTAGACTATAGACTAGACTATAGACTAGACTATAGACTAGACTATAGACTAGACTATAGACTAGACTATAGACTAGACTATAGACTAGACTATAGACTAGACTATAGACTAGACTATAGGACTAGACTATAGACTAGACTATAGACTAGACTATAGACTAGACTATAGACTAGACTATAGACTAGACTATAGACTAGACTATAGACTAGACTATAGACTAGACTATAGACTAGACTATAGACTAGACTATAGACTAGACTATAGACTAGACTATAGACTAGACTATAGACTAGACTATAGACTAGGACTATAGACTAGACTATAGACAGACTATAGACTAGACTATAGACTAGACTATAGACTAGACTATAGACTATAGACTAGACTATAGACTAGACTATAGACTAGACTATAGACTAGACTATAGACTAGACTATAGACTAGACTATAGACTAGACTATAGACTAGACTATAGACTAGACTATAGACTAGACTAGACTAGACTAGACTAGACTATAGACTAGACTATAGACTAGACTATAGACTAGACTATAGACTAGACTATAGACTAGACTATAGACTAGACTATAGACTAGACTATAGACTAGACTATAGACTAGACTATAGACTAGACTATAGACTAGACTATAGACTAGACTATAGACTAGACTATAGACTAGACTATAGACTAGACTATAGACTAGACTATAGGCTAGACTATAGACTAGACTATAGACTAGACTATAGACTAGACTAAAAACTACATATAGACTATACATATATCGAAATGTACTGAAAAAAGTACTAAAGTACCGAATTTGCCATGCCTGGTTTATACAATGTTTTCAAAACGTAAAGTTCTTTCATTATCTTCTTATCAGCAACAACATTTCACCTCATTTACTGTTTTGTATTCGAATATTTTTTTTTACAATTTCGAAATGGTTTTTTATCTTGTCACAAATTAAAAGAAAAACATGTAATGAGCTCACTTTTTAAACAAACCTTTTTGTTTTTGTTTTTTTTTTATAAAATTATCATTAAAAATTATATAAATAATAAAGAATAATAATTAATTATAACAAAATAAGATTGTATTACATTATAGTTTAATATAATGTGTATGTTGCAGGCTTATAGCAATTGTTGTTGCGGCTGCAACTAAAGGTAAAAACAAGTTTTGCAACATTTTTACATATTCATACTGCACATAAATGCAGCTACCACTAAGTAGAGACGAGGTACTTTTACATATTTTATTTACTTTTATTTATAACCATATTTTGAATACTTTAACAACAACAAAAATAACAACAAATTGGTTACAATTTCATGTTGGCATGTTATTTAAACAGAAAATATATGTTACTTTGTGGGCGTTAGTTATTTTTCGCTTTTAATACTTTTTGTTTATTGTAGAGTGTAACTAAATTATAGTTAAAATAAATTATATTTAGTTTTCTTTAATTTTTATTTATCCAAAGGCTTCTAAAGTTTTTTTTTTCTTTTTTTAAAGAAAGGTGTGGTCGTTGTCTTTTGTCTTCGTCTAGTTTAGTATTTACTTTCGATAACAAATTCATTAAACGTTTGCGTGCAATATATCCATATTCATAAATTTTTCTTATACTAAACACATTATAAATGTGTTTTTCAACTTACATACATACATACGTTAAAGTATTAGAACAATTTTGTGGTTTTCTTCCGGCAAAATTTCTTTTCTTTTTTGTTGTTGTTTGTTTTTACACATTTCAAACAAACAAACAAAAAAGCTTTAACGTGAATCACATAATTAATATGGGATAGTTAAGGATTGACCAAATAGAAGAGAACAGACTTGGAAAATTGAAATTCTTTTTAATCTTTTAACTAGTCCATAGACTAGTCGTCAGACTTTATATAGAGTATGGTCTATTGACAAGTTTATTGACTAGTCTTTGTCTTTTATAATAACAAGTTTTGGGACTAGTCTTTTGACAGGTGTATTGACTAGTATAATTATTAGGTTGTGGACTATGTTGCTAGTTTATATTTACTAGTCTATTAACTGGTCCATTGACTAGACTATTTATATTAGCTTATAATGACCAGTCAGTTCTCTGCTCTATTGGCAAATTTAGGGACCAGTATAATGACCAGTCAATGGCTAGTAGACAATTGGCTATTATACTGACTAGTCTATTGACTAGTCTACTGAATAGTCTATTTATAGTGACTAGTGTATTCACTAGTCCACTAGTGACTAGTCTACTGACTAGTTTATTGACTATTCTACTGACTAGTCTATTGACTATTCTACTGACTAGTCTGTTGTCTAGTCTACTGATTTGTATATTGACTAGTCT